TACCGCTGGATGTGTTAGTCACTGAGGCAATAGAAGTAAACAGAACAGACATCATTCCTCTTATCTTTCTTCACCTTTATGAGTTTTTTTGGGGTCTATGTTGAGAACAATGCAAGGTAGGTGTAGGTGGCTTTAAATGTGAAGCCCCAAGTACATCCTTAAATTTTGATCACATTTTTTCCTTACCATATGTTGTTGATACATAGTGATCAGTTAGATTCAAAGGCTGTGCCAGGCACACATCGATAGAAATCTTATATTTATCTTTGAAACACACTCTATTTACACTTACTACATTTTAGTACAAAATGCAGACTACTATTTATTTTAGTTGATGACATCTAACCTTGGGTAGGACACTGTACAGTTTTGTTTTTCATGAGCTCTGAAGCAGACCTTCTTAACTCTGAACAGATCTTGAAATGTCTATTCCAATGTCAAATGTATGTAGTAAGGACCTATGTCTTTATCTTCGGGGTTTTCTTTTAAGTTTCTTTTCTTTTAAGTTTATTTTTTTGAAAGAGAGAGAGAGAATGTGAATGTGAGCCAGGTAAGGACAGAGGGAGAGGGAGAGAGAGAATCCCAAGCAGGCTCTGTGCTGTCAGCGCAGAGCTCAATGTGGGGTTCTATCTTACAAACTGTGAGATCACAATCTGAGCCAAAATCAAGAATTGGACACTTAACCAACTGAGCCACCCAGGTGTCCCATAGTCCCATATCTTCAGTTTTAATGTGTTGAGATATATAATTTCTTTCATCCTTGACCCTCAACACTATGCCTCTACGTGGGATAATGCGCCTGAACTCCAGCCTCTCATTCATGCCTCACTGGAGTCACCTTCTGGTGATTTCCTGTTATGGCAAATTCCATTCAGGTAAAACTAATTTCCAAATGAGAGAGATCCAGGGATTACAGACAGAGGTTAGTTTCATTCTTCAGGTAGAAGTGGAGTGGTAGAACAGAAAGAATATGGACTAGAGAATCCTAGATTCAAATCCCAGGTGGACCACTCACAAACACTCTGACAGCATCTTGAATATCCCTTTGTAAAGAGAAATCATATTACTGCTCTATAGCATTTGTGTCCTAAGGATTAAATCAAATCACAGGAGAAAAGTGCCAATGACTGTGCCTGGCACACAGAAGGCATCAGTTGTATTGTTATGATTTATTTTTCTCCCCAACTAGATCACAAGTTCCTTAAGACTCAAGATCGGATTGGTTTCACTTGCTGGTGTTTTCCCAGTATCTAGAACAGTGCCTGGCACATGGTTAATTCTTAATACATACTTGGTGGGTTAATATTATTATATTCTCACGAAAGTCAGATCAACCACTTATTGATTCCAGTGACTAGTCTACATTCTCTTTTCTTTTTCAAATCAAGTCCAATTTCAAATCAAGTCTAAGCACAATCCTCCCCCGCCTCCCCCCGCCGTGAAACCATCCCCCACAGGCTCTAGTTTGAGTTATCTGGTATTTCTCATGCTTGATGGATACCACAGCTCCTCCCCCCTCCCACTTAACACTGCACTCAGGACCCTTATCACTGTCTGGTTGTTTCATATATGTGAGTCCCGTCTTCTTAAAATTCAATTCCACCAAGAGTTCTTGACTGTTCATCACACTCTGGATGCCGTGCTAGGTTCTGGAAAGGAAATAGTAGCCACTTGGATCAAGGAATCAAGTAGCTGCTCTCCCTTTTAGTAAATACAGACGTATAATCAAGCAGCAACATCACAATGTGACATGAAAAACTATATGCACAGAGTATCTATGTGAAAAAGTATATGCACAGAGTAGCAGAGAGGTGAGAAAGTGATTCATCTTCAAGATGGTCAGGGAAGACAACCCAAGAGAGGATATAATCAGTGAACCCGATTTTACAAGACGGTCTGACATCTTCCAGTTGGTCAAGGTGAGGGAAGAACATTCCAAGGAATGAACAGATGTGCCCAAGGACGTGAGATGACAGGATGTTATCCTGGAGAACTTAGGAGACTGAAGAATCTGGGAGCACCTGGCTCAGTTGGTTAAGAGTTGTCTGACTCTGGTTTCGACTCACGTCTCATGATCTCATGGTTCATGAGATCAAGTCCCATGTTGGGCTCTGTGTTGACAGAGCGTAAATTGGGAGATAGAGTGACAGAGGGTAAATTGGGAGAAAAAAAGACCGAAGTTCAGCAGAATTCAGGAGGAAGTAGGAAAGGTTCAAATGAAAGATTGGGGGGGGGGGTCTAATTGAGTCAGTGAGGTTGGGGCTGGCAGACAGATTGGATTGATTTTTAGGAAGAAGCTTCATAACTGCCCTGACTAGCTTTGGTCCTTGGAGGTAGAAAGATAAAAAGGCAAAAAAGAACCCCTCTCAACAAATAGTATTGTTTTGCATCTCTTACTTGGTAAAGCATAATACCGATCACACAAAAAGCGCTCAGAAATAGGCTGGTAATAAGCCAGTCCCCATAGCATTATTTGGTCTTGACTTAATTTTGTTTCTAGTTTTCTCTTTCTTTTTCTTTTTTTAAATATTTTTATTTATTTCTAGGAGAGAGAGAGAGAGACAGCGTGAGCAGGGGAGGGTCAGAGAGAGAGGGAGATACAGACTCTGAAATAGGCTCCAGGCTCTGAGCTGGCAGTCAGCACAGAGCCCGATGCGGGGTACGAACCCACGAAGCACGAGATCATGACCTAAGCGAAAGTCGGACGCTTAACCGACTAAGCCACCCAGGCGCCCCAGATTTTGTTTCTAGCTTTAAAATGAATTTCTATGAACTGGAACTTTCCAAGCCCTTGCTCAGCTTCTTCGTGCGTTTCCAGTCTATGAGGATCCTTTTAATATTTCCAAGTTATTTGCAAACAGAAAACCAAAAAGGGACTTTGTTTTCCAACCACATATTTATCTATTTAGACAGTTGTTAGCATAGTATTCAAAAGAAGTCTGAGGATAATGTGGCATAATCAAGAACAAAGGAAAGATGTCAAACTGTACCAACACATAGCTCAAACCTTTCTTTTTTCGGGCTCACATTAGATAACAACACACTTTTTCTTAGTATTCAGGGTTATTTCGACCTCATTTAATCTTTAACTGTGTGTCATAAACACAGATTTTTCTTGGAAAATGATTTCCAGGCTACACAAACACACGTCCAACTCATTCTATCAGGGCTTTAGAATTATCAGGGAAGATAAAAAACATAGAATAAACAAAATTACTCATTTTCATAGGCAACACTCTGTAATTACACAGCAAAGGGATAAGAAATTCTTCCATTGATAATGATGGCTATCTTACATCTATTTTGAATTTCTAAGAATTGAAACAGGAACCAACAGAAGTTTAAATAAATTTTGAAGAGATGATTTTAAATGATCAAAAATGGCAGAAGCATATCATGTGTGTATAATAACCTTGGTCTCTTACAAATATATTTTTAAGCCAGGGTTGGCAAACTACAGGCTGGTGGTCATTACCTGTTTCTGTAATGCTGTGAGCTAAGAATGGTTTTACATTTTTAAGTGACAGAAGAAAAAGAAAGTCAAAAGAAGAATATTTCACGATAGACGAAAATTATCTTTAATGTCAGCGTCCATGAATAAAGTTTAATTGGAACACAGCCTACTCATTTGTTTCACATGGCAGAGTTGATCAGTGTGCAAAGCCTAAAGTATTTACCATCTGGCCCTTTCCAGAGAAAGTTTGCCAACCTTTGTTTTAAGGGCATTCCCCTGGGGCGCCTAGGTGGCTCAGTGGGTTAAATGTCCAACTTTGGCTCAGGTCGTGATCTCACGGTTTGTTGAGTTCAAGCCCTGCGTCGGGCTCTGTGCTGACAGCTCAGAGCCTGGAACCTGCTTCGGATGCTGTGTCTTCCTCTCTCTCTACTCCTTCCATACTCATGTGCTGTCTCTCTCTCTCTCTCAAAAATAAACATTAAAAAAAAGAAAAAAAAAAAGAGCATTCCCCTAACGAAACACTGAGGCCTTCAGTACACTGAAGTCTTTTTCACAGAGATTTCCTGTGTCAGTGATATGTGATGTTAAAAGACAAGACAAATGCATGAATTTAGTAAAGGTAACGTAGTTGCCATATCATAAAATAATATACATGCTTTTACTATTTTAGGTTGCTTCTTATTTTATGTCAGTCTAGCACAGTTATTAAGAAAATGCATTTTAGGGTCATTCTTTTTCCTGGAATCTTGATTAGCTCTCTGTGACCTTGGGCTCTTTACATAGCCTCTCGGAGAGTCTTAGGTTTCCTATGAAAACAGAGCAATAATGGTACCAACCTTATGAAGTCATGGTATTAAGTGGGGGTGATTTTTTTTCTGAAAGGCATTTTTAGCTCGGTACCTATCACATAGTAGATGTGCAATAAATTTTCTTCTGAGTAGCATGCTCATCCGAAAATGCCTTTTTCTTGTGATCCCCTCCTAGTTTTGCCTGTAATTTCTGCTTTGACAAGGAAATCTGCAAAATCTGGCTTACATAACTTCACACAGTTAGAGCCCCTCTCTCTGGATTGTTATTTGTGGAAAACGGTGCCTGGTGCACAAATCCAAGCAGGTACTTGACAGGAGGGAGGACCAAGCAAAGCCTAGGACATCTAAAAACAGATCACAGAGGTAGAGAGCGTTGGAAGGCTGGTGGGCAGCTGGGTTATTATGCTGGGGAGCAGGACGTTGGGAGCTTTCCTTCTTAGAATCCATTCCAACTCTTTCTGTGGGGAGGAGTCGGATGACAAATGGCATGAGGTGGAGAACCTTCTTTAGCTGTTCCTTACAGAGCCAATCTCTGCCTAAAGATAGCTCACAGGGGAGAAAAACCCCCGAAGGAAAAAAAAAAAACTCTTTTATCTCCCTTCCCCCCAAAATCATTTACAGAAATATTGCAATTCCAGAAGTCAGCAAATACCTCCACAAAATACCTGAGAAACAGAAATCCTATAGGCGTGCCACTTTTTTTTTAATCGCATGAAACAGTTTATACAGACCTCACTTTTTTTCACTTCTGTATTTTGACATACTATTTTGAGGAAAATCCCTCTGAATTTTACCCTTGTTCCTCGTTACGGTTGATTGAGTTTAGTCACCCCCAAAGAAGAACAAATTATTTCAGCATTCTTACCAACTCTAGTTGGACTCAGGGTTAAGAGGACAAATACATACACCCACACGTCAGCCTGGTGTGTGGGGCTAAAACCCCCAAACTGTAACCCTCGCGTGCATGCCTGGGACAGAAAGGGGTGGGGTGAGGGGGCGAGGGGGTCTGTCTACTGGTAGGAGTAACTTTCATCGTCATATTCCAGCTCATCCTCCTCCTCATCCAGCAGCCCGTACTTAAACTTCCGGTAGATGGTGCCATCTTGGCCCATGTAGACGATGTCATCATCCTCCTCCTCATCATAGTCCTGGTCTGTGTACTCAATCACTTGATCCTCTTCAAAGCTGGTGCTTTCAAGATGGCTGCCCTTGTAGGAAACATATGACTTGCTAGGGTCGGCCAGCTTCTCATAGCCGGCCTTTGCTACTGGCTGGGCTCGGCCTCGTGATTTCCTCCAGACAATCACAGCGGCCCCGAACAGAAGCACCAGCATAATGGAGGAGGTGATGAACAGGGCTGTCTTGGTACGCTCACCTGCAGGCCCAGTTTCACTTGCGTGAAGGATACACTCCTCTGTTGGAAGAAGACCCCAGAGGAAGAGGAGAGAGCAGAGAGGGGAAGGATGGGAGAGACGAAATGGAATGAGGAAAATTAGTTTCTGAGGTAAAAAGCTTTGTTTTGTCTTTGAAATCTAAAATGGCAGAATCATTGTCTCTGATTTTCCTAGAGGGCATACCGCTCTTCAGAATTGCACTAGGTACCCCTGAGGCTCCCAGTCTGTGTCTGATGATACCGACAAACTCTTCTAGGATGAAGGTCAGTTTGAGAACTGAAGAGTCCCCTCATGCTCATACCTCATGTGTCAGTCGCCAAGTATCCACCCTTAATACTCGATTTTTCTATTTTCCTCTTAAGAAAAATATTTCATCTTGGGCCATGCTTCAGTTATTGCTAAATGCTCTGTTTTTTTGTTTCAACTCTGACTTTCTCTAAGCCCGATTCCTGTCCCCAGGTACCCTTCCATCTGGTCCAACATTCAAAGGTAGAGATGATTACTTACAAAACCATTGACTTGTTGTTGTTTTTTAAGTGGGTTCTATGCCCAATGTGGGGCTTAAACTCATGATCCTGAGATCAAGAGTCGCTTGCTCTACTGACTGAGCCAGTCAGGCACCCCTTTCCTTATTCTTTTTTTTTTTTTTTTTTTTTTTTACAAATAGTTTATTGTCAAATTAGTTTCCACATAAACCCCTTTCCTTATTCTTTAACCTGCCCAATGGAAGTGAGAAAGAGAGTATGAGAACCAGGAACAAAACTAGCAGGCTCTGTTGGATGTACAAGTTGACATACGCAGTAAGTTTTCCATAAATGGTTTTTGAACCATCTGCTCCCCAGATTCTTTTATGAGATTCTAGATACATTATATACACTAACTTAATGGATATAATTTTGCAGCTAATTATTTCAGGGGCAATTATTTTCTTATAACCTACTAGCCAATTAGGTCTGACTCATCACCACAGTGTATTTCTCCTCTCTTTGTGCTAGTGATAAACAAATTTCCCATTTTATTCAAATTTCCATCCTCATGGGATTTCTGCCCATCCAGCAGAGTTTCCTCTTCTAAAATAATAGCACTACCATAATTATTTTTGACATTAACAATAGCAGTGCAGGATTTTTCTCTGGAGGAAATATTAAAGCACCAGAGGGATGGATAAGCTATCTATGTGTGGTACTTGGAGATAAACATACCCAAGGCAGGAGAATCAATAAAAGATGTTTCAAGATTGTTTTAATTACTAGGGCGCCATATGCAATCATGTCTTCTTACTGTTCCCCAGGCTTAGGTCTGCAGAGTTAGGGTCAGCCTTTGTGATCTGGTTTCTTTGAAGCAGCAGAGAGGCTCAGGAAGAAATGAGCAGGTAATCAAGAGTATACAGACTGTCCAGGTTTGTCCCACGTGGATCTCCAAGGGCCACAGAAGGCCCAGGAAAGCTGACTAAATAGGTCTCAGTCAGAACGGGTTTGGATAAAGTCCGCACCCAATGTGTACATACTTCTGGCTTCATTTAAAGCCATCGATGTAATGAGGGTTATTATTCTTAGCTGACATAGCATGGATATTAGGCAGTCAGACCCTGAAGATGGGAAATCAGCTGTTTGTGGGGGTAGGAAAGCTGAAAGAAGGGAACGGTTAGTTTTTGGAAAGATGTTTAGAATTGAATTGCAAAGGCCAATAAAAATAAAAAAGAAATAGCTAGTAGCAGTTATGGGTCTAGGATTAACTTCACTTATACATGGACAGGCTCACATAAATATGATGTCTCTTTGTCAGGCAATGATATATCTGAACCCAAGGAAATGATCTGTTTCTGGACTAGAGAATATATTATAAGAATATATGTATGTATGTATTCGTGTGTGTGTGTGTGTATGTGTGTGTGTGTGTGTTTATTTAGGAATGACTCCATTTGGGATCTTTCTAAGTTTGTGGCCAGTGAAGACCAAGTACCCATATGGATGGGGTTGGGGGTAGGAGACAGGTGGGGGCCTGGGAATTGGTTAAAAGGATTTTGTTTCTTTTTAGCCTTTGATGAAAGTTCATTTCTAAAATGCCTCAAGTCTTAAGGACCTGTAGATGTTGGCTAACTTCCATAGAATGATTAAAGATAATATTGGCATTAGCTTTTTTGATAGTTGATTCATTTCTTTTTTTCCTAGGAGGAAAGAATAAGAAAGAAGAAGGAAATTTATAAAGATGAGATTCTAAAAAAAAAAAAAAAAAAAAGAAAGGAAGAAAGAAAAAACAAAAGAAGAGATTTTAGACTGACTTGAACTCTCATCTCAGAGGCAGCATAGCAGTGGAAAGAATGCAGGCCATGCCGGGGCCCCTGGGTGGCTCAGTCAGTTGAACGTCTGGCTCTTGACTTTGGGCTCAGGTCATGATCTCATGGTTTGTGAGATTGAACGCTACATCGGGCTCTGTGCAGACAGCTTGGAGCCTGCTTGGGATTCTCTCTCTCCCTCTCCCTCTGCCCCTCCCCTGCATGTGCTCTCTCTCCTCAAATAAATAAATAAACATAAGAAAAATTTTTAAAAGAATGCAGGCTTTGCAGTCCAAAGAATCTATATTCTAATTCCAGATGACCCTTAACATTGCCATGGACTTGAGCATGTGAATCAAACCCTTTGAGCCTTGGTCTTCTCATCTGCAAAAGGGGATTGATAATATCTACTTCTAGGGGCACTGGCTGGCTCAGTAGGGAAAGCATGCGACTCTTAATCTCCGGGTTGTGAGTATACCACGTTGGGTATAGAGATTACTTAAAAAAAAAAATCTATATGAGTTAATGGACAGAAAGTTCTAGGTACAGTAAGCACATAGCAGGCACTCAATTAAAGATAGCTCTCTTGATTCTCTGGAACTTTCTATCCTCCTCTCCCCTCTGCTCCCATCTGCTTCTGGAGGACAGGCCCTTCCTCTGCAGGCTGCTCTTCCTCTCCCCTCACCTGTGGTTTCCTGGCAGTCACAGCACTCCTGGGCACTGGACGGGTCGGAGGTATTGCAGCAGTGTAGACAACGACTGTCGTCCATATGCAGCAGCAGGTTGGCGGGGCACATGGTGCAGTTCTTGATGCCGGGTCCCTTGCATTCCACACAACTTTCGTGGCATTTTTCACAGTTAAACTTCTCCCCCTGTTAAGAACAATTGGGAGATTGTTTCTGAGTGTGGAGGAATCAACAAGGCATCGGAGTTCCCAGGGGGGTGTTCAGTCTTGTCTCTATGAGGGAGAGAGGTGCGTGGAGGGCGGGAGAAACATTGCTTATTGCTCTGGGTCCCTTTTCACTGTTCAGGGCGGAAGCCTGGACCACCTGTCTGCACTTGGAGGAAATCACTGCTGGGTCTTTCTATCCGAGATCTGCGGGTGACAACAGTGGGAGACTGGGCTTCTAGAACAGCTCAGGTTGCAAACTGAGAGCTCATGTGCTGTCCCTGGTCAAGGACAAGTGTTGTCTGGCTCATCCACACTGACCTTCACAGGTAAAAAAAAAATTTCAATTCATTGCCCACATTCAAAATTAGGATACTCCACTTGTAAATCAGTTCCTAATTTCTCTTTAAAAACTAGACTGTTAGGGGCGCCTGGGTGGCTCAGTCGGTTGAATGGCCAACTCTTCATGTGATCAGGTTGTGATCTCATGGTTGTGATCTCACAGTGGTGAGATCGAGCCCCGCACTGGGCTCTTCACTGGCTGTGTCGAGCCTGCTTCAGATTCCGTCTCTCCTCCCTCTGCCCCTTCTCTGCTCGCACACGCACATGCACACGCTCGCTCTCTCTCAAAAAAAGAAACACTAGACTGTCAACACTGCCATCACAACCACACACCAACATCACGGACAGCTGAGTGCCCGCGGCCCCTTTTTTGTGCTCTCCCAGTTGGTATAATCCCAGCTTGCTCTGATGTCACCAAAACATGTGACACATCAAATTCCACTTTTCATCGGGCATACATTGGGGTTTTCTTTGACCCAACACCCTTCACTCATATGCATTCACCTGCTTGGCCTCTGTGGTTATCAGATTCTTGTGGCCCTGCCCCAGAATATCATTTGTGACTGTTTAGCTGAAATAGTTAAATCTCAGTGAAGAGTCAAGCCATCAGGAGAAAATGGCTTCCCTCCTGACAAGTTACTTCTTCACTGGGGCTGAACATGGAGATGAGGGAAGGGATCTTCCTATTTTACTTCTGTGCCATGGGAAAGAAGGAATGCAAATTGCCTTTGTTAAGCACGTTGGCAGTTTCAGGTGCTGATAAGGCATTTTCTCAGCTGCTGTTATCAAGTCATGGATTGTCAGAGCCTTGGGCTCAATCCCAGCTTTGTTACTTACTATTCATGAGATCTTTAGCAAATTATTCAATCTCTCGGATCCCTGGGTTCTTTAGAGTGTAAGGATTTAAAGAGAGCTCATATGTGAATGTGTTGGGTCATGTGAATTTCACCATGGAGACATTTACCTAATTTCTTTATTTTTAAGTTTATTTATTTATTTTGAGAGAGAGAGAGTGAGAGCACACAAGCAGGGAGGGGCAGAGAGAGAGAAAGGATCCCAAGCAGTTTCCACACCATCAGCGCAGATCCTGACTTGGGGCTCGAACTCCCAAACCATGAGGTCATGACATGAGCTGAAACCCAAGGTTGAACTCTTAACTGACTGAGACAGCCAGGTGCCCCGAGATATACTTAATTTCTAAAGTTTGGAAACACAAGAAGTTAGTGAACTCAGAATATCCATGATGTCTAAGCAAGGAAATGAAATCTCTCTCCTTTTTAAAAAAAATTATCTATTTTTGAGAGAGGGACAGAGACAGAGCATAAATGAGGGAGGGGCAGAGAGAGGGGAAGACACAGAATCCAAACCAGGCTCCAGGCTCCGAGCTGTCAGCACAGAGCCTGGTGTGAGACTCAAACTCAGAAATGGTGAGATCATGACCTGAGCTGAAGTCGGACGCTTAACCAACTGAGCCACCCAGGTGCCCTTAATACACTCTGGAGGGTGGAGGAAGTGAAAGACCAACAGCAGTTTTGTAGTTCTGACATTATTCAGGTGTTTCAGGTTAGACAGCAGGGTGGGTAGGAGAGAAGATACTTCTTATTTCTGATACAAGGGGACCTGAAACTTCTAAAGTCACAAGCAATGAATGTAGAGTTAAATCTGCGGTCCTCATTACCTAACTTCCCCCTTATTTATTTCAGGTCATCTCAGTCCTTTTGATTGAAATTAAGGCTACCAGTGGGGAGAACCATTATTCCATGACGCAGTGGCAGAAGATTTAAAAACTAGAGCAAGTGTAGGAGTTTTAGAACTTTTTGACTTTGCCCAGAATACATGCAGAAACTAGCTCCCATACCTCTGCAGAAGTGGTGAGGGCAATGGGGCCCCTTGGGTGGCTCAGTTGGTTAAGTGTCCGACTTCACCTCAGGTCATGATCTCACGTACCATGAGGTTCAAGCCCTGCATCAGGCTGTGTGCTGACGGCTCAGAGCCTGGAGCCTGCTTCGGATTCTGCGTCTCCCTCTCTCTCCACCCCTCCCCTGCTCGCACTCTGTCTCTGTCTCTGTCTCTGTCTCTCTCTCAAAAATAAATAAACATTGGGGCGCCTGGATGGCTCAGTCGGTTAAGTGTCCGACTTCGGCTCAGGTCATGAGCCGTTTGTGGGTTTGAGCCCTGCATTGGGCTCTGTGCTGACAGGTAGCTCAGAGCCTGGAGCCTGTTTCAGATTCTGTATCTCCTACTCTCTCTGACCCTCCCCTACTCATGCTGTCTCTCTCAAGAATAAAAAAAATTAAAAAAAAAAACAAACATTAAACATTTTTTTTAAAGAAGAAATGGCTTGGGCACACCATGCCCAGCTCTCAGTACCTCTTCCACTCTGTATTCTCCCACCAGACAATCTGAGGTGCAGAGTCCTCCTGATAGGTGATAACTCCACACGCAAGATAAACAATGGAACGGTCCTTTTCCTGAAAGAAAAAAACAATGATTCTAAGTTATGAGGCTGACCTTAAGTTTCAACCTCTGTCTTAGATCCAGCCCACTTAGGAGCAAGGAATATGTCAAGCAAATTCAGGTAGAAGGATGGATGAGTTGATCGAAGAGATGGGGGGAAAAAAGAATCTACAAGACACCAAGTAAAAACCTAGAAATTACCCAGTTAGCCCAATCAGTGTGAACTCTCATTTGGACACTGAGGACTTGGAAGTGATAGCTGTTTTACGACAGCAAAACTAAAGATTTTCAGAGAATGAGAAATCATGTAGAAAGGCTCTAAAGCTTTTATGTGTCATTCTGCTTAACCAAAAAAGAGGAGGAGAATGATACCAGATGATTTGGAGGACCCCAATACTCAGGGTGTGAGGAAATCATTATTAGGGAGTTTCTAATTAAGAAACACCAGGCTTAGAATTCAAAATGCCAGAGCTGGGGTGCCTGGGTGGCTCATTTAGCCGATATCGGCTCCAGTCATGATCTCACTGTTCCTGAGTTCCAGCCCCACATGGGGCTCTGCTGACAGCTCAGAGCCTGGAGCCTGCTTCAGATTCTGCCTCCCTCTCTCTCTCTGCCCCTCCCCCTCCCTCAAAATAAACAAACATTAAAAATTTAAAAAAAGAGAAAATGCCAGGGCTAAAAGAATTTGGCAAATCATTGTGTTCAGTTCTTAATTTGGGGGGAGGGAGTGGTGGTGATAGATTCCTTAGAATATCTCTCGAAAACTGAAAGCTTTTTCAAAAATTGGATGTGCTATTCATTTATTATTTTTTAAATAAATGAAAACTAAGGCCCAGTATGTCAAGTCATTCATTCAAGGTTATATAGGGACTGGTCAAGTCAAGATTCGAATTCAGGTTTGTTGACCGACAGCTCAGTGTTCTTTCACTCATACTACCTGCCTTAACACCTTATGACCTATCTATTAGAGGAGGTCTGAATCTACAGGGTGTGTGTGTGTGTGTGTGTGTGTGTGTGAGAGAGAGAGAGAGAGAGAGAGAGAGAATACTCCACTCTCCTAATTCAGAGACCTCAAGAATGACTGACCCAATCATTACCTTTTACACAGATATTAAGGGGTAACTTCTGGAAAGGGTTTGGAGACAGGAGACCTGAATTCTCATTCATTCCATTAGGACGGTCCTGGTGTTTTTGCCAAGAATTTCAAAACAAGAGGAGGGAGATAGATGGGGGCGGGCGGGGGGGGACGGAATGTGCCTGTTACTGTGAGTCGGAACTTGATATAAGTCTTCCCATCAGAAGCATACTATACAGTGGTTAGTTGAATTTGAACTGGATCCACTAGTCCTGTCCTTCATAAACACTAGGGAGGTAAATTGGCTCTTCATGTCTGATCTGTGAGCTCAATCACCTATGATGTTTCTATGGAAAAAAAGAATCCTGAGCTCTGAACAACAGTTTAGAGAACACACCACTATTACCCAATTGCTTCTTAGATTGGGGGCTGCCTGCAGTGACATAAATTCAAGGCCGTTTAATAATTTTAAGTTTTTAAAAAATTTTTTTTAACGTTTTATTTATTTCTAGGAGACAGAGAGAGAGAGACAGCGTGAGCAGGGGGGGGGTCAGAGAGAGAGGGAGTCACAGACTCTGAAACAGTCTCCAGGGTCTGAGCTGGCAGTCAGCACAGAGCCCAATGTGGGGCTTGAACCCACAAACCGCGAGATCATGACATAAGCGAAAGTTGGACGCTTAACCGACTAAGCCACCCAGGCGCCCCAATAATTTTGTTTTAAATGGAAGTAGAGTTGACATAAAAGATTAGTTTCAGGTGTACAAGAGTGATTCAACAATCATGTACATTATGAACTGCTTACCACACCGAGTACTGTTACCTTCTGTCATCATATACAGTTCTCACAATGTTATTGACCATATTCTCTATGCTGTACTTTTCACCCTGGTGACTTATTTATTTTACAACTGAAAGTCTCTACCTCCTAATTCCCTCACTCCTTCACACATCCTCTCACCTCCCTGCCCTCTGGCAACCACCAGCTTGTTCTCTGTGTTTATATTTCTTTTTTTTTTTTTTAATATTTTTATTTATTTCTAGGAGACAGAGAGAGAGAGACAGCGTGAGCAGGGGGGGGGTCAGAGAGAGAGGGAGTCACAGACTGAAACAGGCTCCAGGCTCTGAGCTGGCAGTCAGCACAGAGCCCGACGCGGGGCTCGAACCCACGAACCGCGAGATCATGACCTAAGCGAAAGTCGGACGCTTAACCGACTAAGCCACCCCGGCGCCCCTGTGTTTATATTTCTACTGGTTTGTGTGCTTATTTTGTTTTAGATTCCACATATAGTGAAATCATATGGTGTTTGTCTTCCCCTGTCTGACTTATTTCGCTTAGCCTAGTACCCTCTAGGTCCGTCCATGATGTCATGAATGGCAAGATTTCATCCTTTTTTATGGACGAGTAACATCGCCTCCTATAGATACACCACCTCTTCTTTATCCACTCACCTCTCGATGGACACTGGGATGCTTTCATGCTTTGGCTTCTGTAAATAATGCTGCAATACACAGAGAATGTATCTATCTTTTCACTTTAGTGTTTTCATTTTCTTTGAATAAATACCCAGAAGTGGAATTACTGGATCATAGGGTATTTCTATTTTTAATTTTTTGTTAAATCTCCCTCCTGTTTTCCATAGTGGCTGCACCAGCTTGCATTTCTACCAACGGTGCACAAGGGCTCCATTTTCTCCACATCCTCACCATCTGTCTTTTCTTGTCTCTTTCATACTAGTCATTCTCACCAGTTAAGGGTCGATATCTCATTGTGGTTTTGATCTATATTTCCCTGATCAAAAAGGTCGAATATCCTTTCATGTGACTATAGGCCATCTGTATGTCTTCTTTAGAAATATGTCTGTTCAAGTCCTCTGCCCACTTTGTAATCAGATTTTTTTTTTAAGTTGTAGGAATTCTTTATATATTTGGTGTATGAACCCCTTATAAGATGTATCATTTGCAAATATCTTCTTCCATTCAGTAGGTTGTTCTTTTGTTTTGTTGACAGCTTCCTTTGCTGTGCAAAAGCTTTTTCGTTTGATGTAGCTCCACTTATTTACTTTTGTCTTTGTTCCCCTTGCCTGAGAAGACAGATTCAGAAAAATATTGCTAATAAATTTTACTACTAAACATTACGGTGTTCAAGAGTTTACTGCTTGTGTTTTCTTTTAAGAGTTCTATGATTTCAGGTTTTATATGTAAGTCTTTAATCCATCTTGAGTTGTTTGTTTATTTCATTTTGAGTTTATTTCTGTGTTTGGTGTAAGAAACTGGTGCAGTTTCATTCTTGGGCATGTGGCTGTCCAGTTTTCCCAACATCATTGATTGAAGAGACTATCTTTTCCCCACTGTAGATTCTTGCCTCCTTTGTTATAGAGTAATTAATCATGTAAATGTGGGTTTGTTTCTGGGGCCTATGTCTTGTTCCATTGATCTCTGTGTTTATTTTTGTGCCAGTACCATACTGTTTTGATGACTATAGATTTGTAGTAAACTATCAAATCTGAGACAGCCACCCTATTTTTATCTCACCTGTAGCTTCCGACAGAATTTCCTACATGTTCTGGAGCAGAACTGTGGTCTCTGATGAAAGAATAAGCCTTTCTCCTTCTCTCTTCCTTCCTTTTCCCAGCCTACATTTTTCTAAAACACAGCTTAGATGTCTTGATTCAATTTTTAGAATACAAAATATGTGTTTAAGTGTTGTTTTGTTTGTTTTTAATGAAGAGAAGTTGAGGGTAGGAAGAATCAAAAGAGAAAAAGGCAGTAAGAAGATTAGGTCACAGAAAACAAAACAAAACAAAACAAAAAACCAACCAGGAAAAAGATTAGGTGATGACATTTGTGCCTTAAGGTTGTTTACATTTCCCAGAACACCAGCAGCAATGTGGCCGAAGCTCATCTTCTGGGTGATCTTCTTCAAAGTCACTGTCACAAGTTAGGTCTCCTACACTGACTTATTGCAAAATCTGTACCACCCGGTGCACAGGGTCTCCTGCTGAGAGCCATGTGTTAATTTCCAGGGTGTTTCCTATTGTTTCCACATTTAACAACCTACATTTATCACTGATTCTAAGTATCTGCAGGAACTGTGGGACCTATAAAGATTGTCTTGGTTTTTCCTTAGAATTCACAAGTCACTATTGGTTTTCCTTTGGACTGACCCCACAGGGTGAGCGAACTGAGCAATGCAGAGCAACCTCTGTGACCATCCATGATGTCATTCCACACAGGAAGGGGAAGCTGGAAAGAGGTAGGAGGTGTTGGCTACCAGCCTGTATTTTTGTTCCGAACAATTTTGTGAAGAGGATGAATGCAAAGTTAAATGTGTAGGTAAGGAATGAGCCGATTATGGAGGAACCTTAGTATGCCGCCCATCGCCCACCCCCACCCTGCCCAGTGCTCTGACCTGTTTGTTTTCATACTGTCCTACTACTGGGCAGTCAAATGTGAACGAAAGACAAATTGAGTTGGCAGATTGCTTACTTAGTTTGCTAAGTTTTCCTGTAGTTGTTGTGCATCCTCATTTCTTAGTACGACAACTAATGTTTTAGCTTGGAATTCGTCCTTTTTTCACCCAGTTTATAACCCAGGAGAAAACCTGTCCCCATGTTTTGTTTCTATATACTGCAAAACCAGAGGACAGCACACAGGTTCACTAAGCAGCAAAGGATGTGTGTGGCCGGGGGAAAGGAAGGATGGTAGTCTAAATGAGCACCACGTGTGGAAGGCTTCAACCAGGTACACTTGGAGTTCAAGTCAAACACAGGAGGAGGAGGCCCGAACAGAATGGCTGTGAGATTTACTCGGCTGTGACAAGCTCTCCTTTGAATATATTCTCACCGCAATGTGCGGATGACCTTTTTTTTTTTTTTAAGGCTGTTTTTTAGAGGACTTTCAGGCTTACAACAAAATAGAGAGGACGGTACAGACACTGTC